AGGTTCATGGGTAGTTATATGTAGGGTTATACGTAGGGTAACTATAATAATTATAACCCATATTAGGGGACTTATAACCCTACTTATAACTACCCATGTGAACCTTCAAGTACTGCCAAGCTTGAAAGAGATTCGCCAGAGTCCTTTAGCGCGGTTGTGGCAGAACGTATTCGCCTCTGGACCATGCCGCGGATCTCTTCGTTTTTGTGGACCTTGGCTTCATGGTGCTGGGGCCGTCGGTTCCGGGGTCGGGACATGAAGTAGATCGGAAGGAAGCTCGATCGACTAAGAGACGTCGTCCCGGGTCCCATGCCCACTGCACGTAATGCCCAGCCAGCATGGTGCTCAATGCACCTGAGTCAACCCAGAATGACAACAGAGAGCATCTCAAAGCATAATGTTAAGCCCTGGATTTGTGGACCAACAAACTGCAATAACCCGACACAAGAGTGAAGACTAAAGTCACATGCAATACGACTGCTGCTTCAGCCACTTTGTCTCGACTTTGTGCCAGCTCGGCTTCCGGATAGAGAACAGGCTTAGGTTTGTTGGATCGAACATGCGCTTGCTTCTCGGTCCTCGGCCTGTTGTTCTAAGAAAACATACACACGACCCGCAACGAATCCACGGCGAGCTCCCGGTCGAACAGACAGAGGCAGTTGTTGTCACGTCGCATGCATGTGTTTGCAAATGGTCGATATGCACACAGTCTGCTTCACCGATGCCCCAGACAGGCCTCAATGGAGGGGATTCCCCTGCCAATTCCGATCCACGGAGGTATCGATTGATGCAGGTCGAGGCATCAAGATTTCAAGCCTCAATATACTATTGTGGGGTCAAGGCTTTTTTTGCGGCGTCCGTGGGCGTGGCAGCGGATCTCATGTCCGCGTGTCCGCGGGCGCATAACCCCGTGGCCGCGTGGCCGCGGGCCGCGTGGCCGTGACCACGTGGCTGCGGGCCGCGGGCGGCGCGCCGCTGGCTTAGTCCGCGCCAAATGAAGGATGAGTTGAAGATCTATGAAGAACATTGATGAACCAGAATCGTCAAAGGACGAGGCGTGTTTAAGATATATGATGAAACGGGATCGCCAGGTGGCGGGGCTTGTTTAAGATATTTGATGAGCCGGAATCGCCACATGAAAGGGTATGTGTAAGATCTATGATGAACATTGTTGAACCCAAGTCGCCAAATGAGGGGCGTGTTCAAGATATATGATGAACGGGGCTCGCCAAATGAGGCGGCATGTTTCAGATGTATGATGAACCGGAATCGCCAAAAGAGGGGGCTCTTTATTAAGATATACCATGCACCGGAGTCGACAAAGGAGGGGCCTGTATGATGAACCGGAATTGCCAAATGAGGGGGCGTGTTCAAGATGTATGATGAACCGGAGTCGCCAAATGAGGGAGCGTGTTTAAAATGTATGATGAACGGCGGGCAGCGGGCCGTGGGTGGTGTGGCCGCTTTGCCGCGTGGCCGCGGTCCGCGTGTAAATAATACTACGCTGTGTGGACAAAATCGTGCATGACCCACAACAAGAAGAGCATGACACGTTGACTGGCTCACTCGCCTCACACCTCTAGTGTCAATGTTGATGACGCAGATACGTGATGCGGGATTTCGTCCATGCCGACATGTATTTTTTAAGAGCGGTTTGGCATCAATACTAAGGTTCAGAGTTTGGAATGGATGGGCCGTAATCGAAATCGATGCAGGATTTCGTCCATCAGCAGTATTGTGAAGCCCTCATGGAGTTTGCCGATCAGCCTTTTACAAGCCAGTTGTCGAAACTGCCTGGGTGCCTGGCCCATAGATGGCTGAGAAGCTATCTTGGAGGACCTGCGATAGAAAGGAATGGAACCATTGATACGAGATGAGCGGAGTTCTGGACCTCTCACTGCTGGACCGGGTGGTTAATGAAGGCTTCGTATCTTGCCACCAGCATGACTACACCCTCTCCGACTGGCAGCAACTCGCAGTGGACGATGCGGCCATTTCAGGCCCCGGCTTGGCCGATTTCCTGCGGAAGCCGGCAGCGCAACCTCAAAGCAGAGGAGCTCAAGGGCCATGAAGATCCACATGGGCTTCAGTCTTTGGGGGTTTCCGAGAATAGGGGACCCGAATGTAGTGCTCTAAATAGTGGGATCCTTATCATAAGGATCCCAAAATAAAGTACCCCGTATTTTCGGAAACTCCCTCTTGGGTTTAGTGGCAAAAACAACAGGTTCCGCCTGAAGCAACCCGGCCTGCAGTATCTCCAAGGAGGGTTCTCATTGCTCGCAAGGACCCCAAAGGCTCCGAGCCCTGAGCACTGCAGTTCTTGAGGTCCCCACAACCCCCACAGCAGCCGTTGCCGCCTAGGTCGCTGCCGAAGGAAGGAAAACTCCAAAGTCCAAAGAAGAAGCTGGCAATTTGGGGCGAGTTCCAGCTTCACTGCTCAGCCACTTCAGCTTCGATCACCTTCTGCTTACGTGCAGAGCATGCTCATGGCTCGTGGGGTCCGCACCATCGCCAGCAGCCGGAAGTATCCGCCGCAGCCGCTCCGAGTGAAGCAGGCTCCACTGGAAAAGCAGAACACGGTCGAACAGAGCTCAAACCACGAGTAGCCAATTTCTTCCGTTGCTCTGTGGAAGACTACTGACAAGGATAAGGGCTTTGAACCCGTTCCGTGTCTGGCCTCTGTGAGGCAGCGGAAATGGCCGGCGCTGGGCGTGAAAAGCCAAAGCGGGACCTAAGATGCCGAAGCGATGATCGCTCGTACTCTCATCTCAGTCTAGGGTTCAGGGTTGTTTAGCGTTTAGGATTTTGGAAGGCAGTTGGGGCTTAGGGACAACTTCAGACTCTCAAGAAGAGTCTTCATCTTTGGGCTCGGCTCGAAGCAGCTGGGGTCCGGCTCCATAGGTCGACCTGCTGCTCCCCACGGAAGCACGAGCTATGCATGCGCACTGCACGAGCGATGCATGCGCACGCAAGCGCACGCCGGCTAACTGCCACTTAGTCACTGGCACCTGCTCTACGAAAGTGTTTTCTGTTTTTGTTCCCCTCTCAGGCCTCCCGGTGCCGTTGTCCTGCTCGTAGGACCGCCTGCCCTGGGACTCCAGCGAAAACGGTCCAATGCCTGGGAGAGCGAGCTGGATCTATCTGCTCGTTGCACTGATGCCTGGCGATAGTGAGGGCGACAGCTGCCCCGAAGCCGATAACATCTCGAACGAAAGGAGACAACGTGGGCTTTGACAGGGTTCCCGGCGATACCGCACAGTCTCCCCATACGGCAGGCTCACCTGCAGGCATGGGAACGAGGAGCATAGAATTAGATCCGAGCGTCTACAGATCTGAGCAGACTACCGTAAGGTGCATTGGAGTTCGGAAGTGAAGGGTCCAGCTTGATACGGCCCTGATATGCACAATGCGCGCCACAACTTGCAGAAGGATCGGCTGTTATGGTCCTGGTCCAAAAAAGTTACAAAGCCACATGATTACCCAGCTGACCCCGCATCCTAAATCCAAGACCCTCATTGGGCCTCCTCCCAGAGGCAAGGAAGTGGATCGCATGCCCAAAACTCGGCTTCCACAAAATCGGCGATCTGAGCACAGTGGCTTCATTCAGGGCCAGGGTGCAGCTCTCTTGGCTTTCGATTTTGGGGGCTACCTCTGTATGGTATAGTTTGGCTATATAGTGTAGTATAATTATACTATAGTATAAGTAAACTATAGTATAACTATACTATATAGTATAGTACAGTTATACTATCAACCATGGATCCCTTGCCAGGGTTTGGGTTTGGGGATCGCCTCCTCCACCGTCTTGTGCTCCAAGCCTTCTATGCGGTCCAGCTGCCTTGGCAAGGTAAGACGAAGGCGCACCCCTGTCTGACAAGACTCTTGCCACACTATTCTACAAGTCGTAGAAACTGCCGGCTGCTGTACTCCTGCAGAATCTCAAGGAAATTACCCTCTGATGCAGAGCGTGCAGGACTCGGGAGTCCGGAGTTGCAATTGCAAAGCCCACCTCTGCACCCGCTGCAGGAACAAGGAGATCCGGGAAGCACAAGTGCGAACGAGGCCTTGCGATCAGTGCATGGGTTGTTTGCTTTGTGGATGCCCCAGCCATGATCGATCAGAGGCACGTCTTCTTTCACGCGTAGCTCCCTCTTCGTTGTTCTCTTCTTTGGCTCGCTCTCTCCCTCTCTCTCTCTCTCTCTCTCTCCCTCCCTGCCTCGCTGGCATGAAGAGCGTGCTTTCTCTCAGTCTCTTTCCATTTCGAAGTGGCCAGCTTCCGGACTTGGGCATTTCACAAGTAGGTACAGATAGATAGGGGAGTTTCCGAAAATTAGGGTACCTTATTTGGGGGTCCTTATAATAAGGATCCTACTATTTAGGGTCCTATATTAGGGTTCCCTATTTTCGGAAACCCCCATAGAAGGATAGATAGCAGATAGCTAGCTAGACAGACAGACAGACAAACAGACAGACTGAAAGACTGAAAGACTGACAGATAGACAATAGACATGGCTCGAGAGCCGTGTTTGCACGTACCAGGAGGGCCAGACGGAAAAATCGATACAGATCGTAGGTCGTAGGAATAAGTGATACAAAATTACACAGAGAGATCCCACAGAGATAGATCTGGAAAGAGTGCATGAGTCAGTCAGTCAGGGATGGAGAGAGGGAGGGGGAGGGGAAGGGAGGGGAGAGACAGGGAGGGTGAGCGAGTGAGTGAAAGGGGGAAACAGGGAAGGGGAGCGAGTGGAGCGGGCTGAACCAGATTGGCACAGCATGCCGAAGTGGGTAGGTGGTGAGTGGATGATTGAGCGAGTGATTGAGCGAGGCGAGTCAGGGAGGGACAGAGGGAGGGGAGGGAAAGAGCAAGTTTCGAGCTGGCGAGAGACTGCTGAGCGAGCATCGATGCATCGGCGGATCTCTCGCAGACAAGTGTCTACAAGACTGGCTGCCATGCGAAAGAATGTGGGACCAACGCAGCCAGAGGTTCTAATTCCGGCCTTGCGGATCGCAAAGTGCTTGCTCTGCGTCCTGCGACTAGCACTCGCAGAGCGCATGCCGGCAGCATGCGCATGGGCCATAGGCAGATGAACAGCAGGTATCGGATGTCACCCTGTCTGACGAACCTACACAGACAGTCTTCTCTACGATAGCCGGACACCATTCACGCAAAGAGCCTCTGAGCCGAAAGAAAACTCTTGCAGGCTCGCCTGGATCGGGGGCATGATGCTGAAGTCGGGAACGATGGTCGGCTCCAAATACTGGGCCTGGCGCGGTGGTTCGGCGGCATTTCCTGCTGGCTCTAGCGCCTTTGGCGACCCACTCTCCCGCCCTTCTGACAGGCGTGCCTTTCCCTTCTTCCCCTTCATGCGCTTGGAAGGAGGCGGTGACCTCAAAGCCACGGAGGTTCCACTCACGGCGCTGTCCTCAACCGAAACGAAGGTTTTAGGCCTACCGTCTCCAAATCCGAAGCCAGTCTCAGAATGCCATGCCTGTGTCCTCAAAACCATGAACCAATCTGAATATGGGTACCCTCGACACCCACTTTGCAGCTTTCCGGGCGGCTGTGTGAGCCCGGATGGCGGACTCTTCAACTCCCGGCCCTGAGCAGGAGTCGGTGAGCTGGGGCAGTGGGTCACGGGAGAAAGCGGGTATCAGCCTCCATCTTGGCTGTTGCGTTGGTCTTCTGAGTGGTGTTCGTGTCCTGGTGCAGGACACATCGACTCACGCAATAGCCCCCTGTTGCTGACTCGGTCTTGGCCGGGCCGTGTAATCCCCTGCTTGCCCCGGGAGCTCGGGAGCTTGGAAGCCTTGAAACGCTTCCCGAAATTCGCGAAAGAGCTCACACCGTCGTGTTCTGGCTCGCACTACCTGCTACAAGTACTTCCGAAGCCAGGCACAAAGGCCACGGCCTCTCTCTTCACTTGCTCCTCATTCATCGCCCTTAGGGTCGACATGTGCTTCACGGAATGCCGCACGCAGTACTGCAACGTGCACACACGGAGCCACGGATGCTTCCCACTTCCTTGACACGCTCCAAGACGAAACTCCCGCTCAACCTTCCGTCACCCTGTCTCTCCACGCTTCTGTGCTGAAGATGGTCCGCAAAACACTTCTAAGAAATTCATAAGGATTTGTAGAGAGGCTTTATAGGAACTTGTGAGGGTTTCTTCATGCGGCTTCGAGAAATGTCCAAGTCCGGCACATGGACTTTGCCGACTCCACTGCCTGCGGGGAGGTATCGTCGATCGCCTCTCCAAGGCCAAGTCTGCAAGAAGCCAGCTACTTGGAGGTTCATGGGTAGTTATAAGTGGGGTTATAAGTCCCCTAACAGGGGCTATAATTATGGTTACCCTACTCATAACCCTACTTATAACTACCCATGAACCTCCAAGTAGACTTACGGGTTTAGGGTTCTGCAGTTTAGGGTTCGGCTAGCAAAGGTGCAGAACATGGTCTCACTTCTGGTTCCAGATGTTCATACGAAATCTGACGAAAAGAAGGGAACATCTGGACATGCATGCAGCGTTCATCTTCGCAATCTCACCGTCGCCCTCTCTGTGTGCGCTACCTACTTCACTTGGGAGGTTCCTCCCTGCCTTCGCCGCATCAGACTTGTGGTCGCTAATTCTCACCAGCCAGTCCTGTCGGGTGCGAGTTCTGCTGTAACCCGAGCTTGGAAGAGAGAATCTCTAAAAACTTTAGGAGGGACCCTTAATAGGGACCCTTGTAGGTTACCCTTGTAGGTTATTGGGGTTAAGGGTCCCTATTAGGGGTCCCTCCTAAAGTCCTTAGAGAATCGTTGGCACACTGGCTCCATTGTGACGAACAGCTACCCGTTCCGGGCAGACTCGCACATGCCGCATGTCAGTAGATTTCCGCACCTGCTCAAGCCCTCTCTGCTTGGAGGTTCATGGGTAGTTATAAGTGGGGTTATAAGCCCCCTAATATGGGTTATAATTATAGTTACCCTACCTATAACCCTACTTACAACTACCCATGAACCTCCAAGTGCCTTCCCTGTACTGGACCCCACGTCCCCCTAAGCGCCTCCAGGTCTGGACCTAGGCCGAGCCGGGCTCTGGGTCCATGCGCTCTCTTGAATCAACTTGGAGGTTCATGGGTAGTTCTAAGTGGGGTTATAAGTAGGGTAACTATCATTCTAACCCATATTTAGGGGGCTTATAACCCCACTTATAACTCCCCATGAACCTCCAAGAAGGGAGGCCTCTTGAACGGAGGCAATCGCGAGCTAAGAGCCGGACGCTTGAAACTGTAAACCTGAGAAAGGCCGGGCAGGGCAGAGGCTGTGGGCCAAGTGCAGGCAAGGCGAGGAAGGTTCCCCAGAGACTCCAAGATCCCTTAGTTAAGGAGTGTACCTTAAGCTATAGTAGGGATCCCTACTATGATTTAAGGTATATTTCTTAATCAAGGGATATACCTTAAGTTATAGTAGGGATCCCTACTATGACCTAAGGTCTATTCCTTTCTTAAGGGATCTTGGCATTGGAGTCTCTGCGAGGCTCCTGAGGGTCTGGCCGGGATTCGCGAGCGCAGAGGCCCAATGTGACGGATGGACCTGGCCAGCCCAGGTCTCTGGTGGACTGCTTGGAGGTTCATGGGTAGTTATAAGTGGAGTTATGGGGTTCCTTTAAGGGTTCCATTAAAGGGTTCTATACGGTTTAGGGTTTAGGGTTCATGGGTAGTTTGTACGTGGAGTGGAGAGTCCCCTAACATGGGTTCTTATGATTTTCGTTACCCTACCTTAAGCTACCAAAACCTACTTTTTTGTAGGGTCCCTATAAATTCTATATTAGGGTTTATAATAAGGACCTACAAAAAAGTAGGTTATGGTAGTTCAAGGTACTTGATAAATCCACATATGAACCTCCAAGCGTAGTCACATTTCAGGATCATGTTCAGCGTGCTTTTCATTATCGAGCTGGGCATCCGCTCCTTTGCCGAAATGTCGCGGGATCTGGCACCCGAATTCCCTCTGAAAATCCCGGAGCCTGCCCAGTTCCTGGCAAATTAGATGCTTGCGAAGCCTTTCTCTCTTCCATGGTACTGCAGGGCACACTTTGGGATTCGATTATATCGTTTCGGGCGGAGAATAATAAGCACACGCGGGAACCCCTACGTCCAAGGAGTCTTGTTTGGAGCTTCTTCACAGAAATCCCCCAGGCCTCACTGTAAAGTGAAAACGAAGAGTCGGGAACGAGACATCGGCATAGTACTCGTTCCAAGCCTGGAGTACAAGAAGCCTCATCAGGCTATGAGGGTCAACACCCGAAGTCACATTCTTCAGGTGCGAGCGTCTCCGTTCTCCTGTCATTTTGTGCTGGTTTGTAGTCTTGAATGCGCATCTACCCTGAACCCTGATACCCCCTTGCTCTGAACCCGTTACTGTCGCACCTGATGGCCCGCATCTTGAGAGTCTATGACAGAGCCCGAGCAAGACCTTCCTCTGTTTCTATGTTGTTGAGCACTTAAAGATGACGTAGGCGCACGTGTGTGTGTGTGTGTCCGTGTGTCCGTGTGTGCGTGTTTTCCCAAAATCCCCTTCTTTGCTACCTCATCCCATATTCTCCACGCCTGTCATCTGATCATATCTGATTCCCGGAAGGTCGAGCATAACATCTGGAACCTTCATCGCTAGCCGAACCTGTAACATATTGGCCCGTGACACCCGAAGCCCTAAACCCAATGCTTGAACTCTCTTCAGATGAACAGATAAGCCAAGGTAACGCAGACGCCAACATTCGAGAAGTTTGGATATATTTCTCAACCCGAAACCTTCCACTCACTCAGAGCTGCCGTCGAAGGATTCCGCACGGAGCCGCGGGAATTCTGGACCCAGCCCCTGCCTCTCGTCTGACGCGGCCCCCCCCCCCCCCCCCCCCCACCAACTTTCGTGTTCCGGGTTGAGGGGTCAGAAAATGTACGTAGGGTTTGGGTTTAGGATCCCATGTCAAACCTCGGTTTCAGGGCTTCGGTTTCTGGTTTGGATCTAGGGGGCTCAGCATGTAGGGCGTACGTTTAATCCACCGTGGGTGGAAGAGCATGGAAAACCAAGCTTATGAAGAGATTAAGGCGATTGACTACCGGATCCCCAAACTCGAAATTGTAATGACCTGAGTTGCGAGCCCAAGGTCCACGTCCGCGGTACGTTTGTAGCGCCGGACGCTTTCGGAAGGTCCAGATGCCTCTACAGGGCTCCTAGGATTCGCGAGTCGAGTACTTTGGGTAAACGAAGCAAACCCTAACCCTCCCGGTACCTACTATATAGGGTCCTAGGGGCTCTAGTACCCTATGTAGTAGGTACCTGGGGAGTTAGGGAAAGCTGTTTGAGTCTGTTTGAGGCATCGGATTCGGAGCTCGAAGACGTCTCACTGTAGCTACCTTGAGACAGAACATGGTTTCTTCCCCACCCGGTCCTGTGCCGTATGAACTTTGAATGTATGCCGAGGCCTCAAGGTTTATAGGGCTTCTCCGGAGGGAGGGTGATGATGGCTAAGGTCCGAGGAGCTTTGCTTTCACCCTTTGCCGGATTCCGCTTGGATTATCGATGATATATACTTACATAATCTTACATACGTACATACTTACATACATACATACATACATACATACATACATACATACATACATACATACATGTGTATATATATATATATACATATACATAGGTGTTAGAATCAATCTCCAAGTATATTAAAGCATAAGCCATAGGTATTCACAGGTGTGTATACTGTAGTCTCTCAAGTTTTGAGCCTCTAGATCCGAATCGCCACCTCTCAGGAACCTTTTTGATGCCGTGATCGTGGTTACCTCGTGCATCGACCTCTACATCCTCACTCCATTGACCTCTGGGTCCTGCTAGACTGTGTTTATGATATCCAGGTCCCGGTTGAAGGGAAATTAGATCGGGCTACGTGCATCTTCTAGTCCCGAGGACCAAGCAAGATTCAACACAGCGAGATCCACGTATCAGTAGCAATGCTAACTGGTCTCGAGTCCTCTGGATTAGAGCGACCTCGGAAAGGTTCAAAGAACGACTTCTGAATACTCGAAGCCGTGACCTGAATGTAGCCGATGTTCATCTGAGGTAAACCGCGTGTATGAGAACTGTCATGCTGTGCTAATGGCTGCACCCATTCCCTGCACATTTCGAGAGCCATGAACCTCGAGCAGATATTGCCAGTGTTTGAGAACAGGGACGTGGGTTTGCGGCGGAATGGGTTGGGAGGAGTCCTAGTAAATGCTGAAGAATAGGCGAGCTGAGCTAGCGACCACTAACTAAGAATGAAACCGCATTTAGAGTTGGTTATGACCGGTTATGATATATTTTACGGGATAGCAATCAATTCGTGCTTGACTGGTCCCTTCGAGTTTTTTGAGCAAGGCCGGCAAGGCCCGCTGCGCAAGTCCTGATGCAAGAAAGGGTAGAGTTCTTCGCGCCAGGTCTGGCCAGAACGGGGTTCTCCTACGTCTGCTCCGCACCCTCAGAGCGATGAGAGCCTTGCGTATGACACGGCCGCTGAACTGCACAGGGTTACTGCAAATTGCTGGTCATATGCAGCTGCGATGCCTTCATCCATCTTCATCCTCCCCTTCCTCTGACTACATCTCATAATAGATCATGATCACTATGTTCCTTATTCCTGGCACTGTCGTCCGCAGTGATTATCATAGGCACATGTCCCCATCTGCAATATTGATCCCACTTGACTCGCGATCTTCATGGCAAGTGTCCTTGGCCCATAATAAGCGAGTGGGGTATCACATGATATACTGCGAGCGTACCAGAAATCACACAGCCTGGGCTTTGCAAGCACGCACTACTCAAGATGCAGTCCAAGTGCTAATCCACCCCAGGTTCTGGAAGCAATTCGGATGTAGTGGGGCTGATACGGTGACAAAGTCAGAGCTTGAGGCTGCCGTGAGCACGTATATGCTTCATGTTTGCTGTGTGATTTCCCTAGCCTGTCCGGCCAGAGACTCTACTTGGAGGTTCATGGGTAGTTATAAGTGGAGTTATAAATCCCCTAATATGGGTTATAATTATAGTTACCCTACTTATATAACCCCACTTATAACTACCCATGGACCTCCAAGTAACTAACTGGCCAGGCTTCCCTGGCCCGAAATCTTGAACGGACTGGAGCATGCAAGTGTGAAACATGTGGGGGTTTCGAAAATTAGGGGTACCTTATTTTGGGGTCCTTATAATAAGGATCCTATTATTTGGGGTACTATATTAGGGTCCCCTATTTTCGGAAACCCCCATGTCGTGAAGGTATCAAGTTGTCCACGGGCTCGGGCTGCGCTTGCTAGCAAGAGTGAGTTGCCAGTTGCGAAACCCCAAAGCCAGCTCAGCTTCCCCGTGTGTGGTTGAGGTCGCTGAAGTCTTTCCGTGGTTTGCGGCTTCTGGTCCAGGCCGTGACGATGAATGGTTCTCGTTCGAATTCAGGGATCCGGCTGTAGGGGTTTACAGTATTGCTACGGTTTGGCGCGATGGCGCTGTTTTCTGTCGCTTTCGCGGCCGACTTCCCGAGACCACAGCACCTTGTATGCACGTACCAATCTTGCCAGCACCACTGAGAAATGTTGCTGCTCTTACGGCTGTTCCGCTTCGCACTCCCAGCATCCTACTGACAAAGACAAAGAAATAGTCACATTCCTGGTTCCGCATGACAGTACTCTCCAGCCAGTCCACTGTGTTGCAAGCACGGCCTATCTATCCAGCTAGCCAGCCAGCCACCCACCCAGTCAGCGAGCATACCAACTAATCTAACCTAATCCATACTAGTCTAGCCTATTTATCTACTATACACTATAACAAGATAGAATACAATGGCTGAGAATAGTACAGACTAGAGGACAACTACAACGCAACACCTGGCAGAGCATACTGTAATACTTTTATCGTATAATTCAGTCCAGTATCGTTGGGGCTCCAAGTACACAAATAATGCTCACTTCGGGGTCTGGAGTTGAGCAAAACGGGTGCTGTGTTGGGCTAATTTGGAGCCTCACGGTATAGCCTTCAGATCCGACAACCCCACGGCGTTCTCTTTCCCAGAGCCCGAGAGGCATGCAACTCGTTCTTTCCCTCCTTGGTTCCTTGGCCTGGATTTTTTGGAAAGCCAGTCTTGGCGGATTTCCGTTGCAGAAGCTTAGGGCAACGCACTTTTTGCGATTTGCATCAATGCTGCCAGCGCTTCTCACTTGGCCTGAAAGTTCTGAGCGTTTAAGAAGCTCATGCTTGACATACCCCTGTTGGTGTCATCATTGCGGGAAGGCGCTGTTGCAGACAGAATGTTACAACACTGCTTGCGGGAAGCCGAACTTTACAGGGGAATTACCACAGGGGTCGAAAATAGTAAAGTTAGGACCCACTTCTAGGTCCCGTAACATAGGTAGAGTGTACTATACTACAGCATGCTATGCTATACCCCAGGCTCCTATCTTGCTTTGAGCCCGGCCGGTAGCTGCGGGCTCTTTAGGGACTTAAGGGTCTAGGGTTTTACGGTTTAGGGATTTAAGCAGCTGCCTCTTCTGGTCTTCGGTTTGAGGGTTGCACTGTTTCGCAGCCAATCTTTCACTCACATCGCCTGTATTTAATATAGGGGCCTCAGAAATTACCTATACTATTTTGGGGGGTGTCCTTATTCTAATTACAGTATAATGGGCCCCACAACCCTATTCTAATTATGAAGGCCCCTACATTACGCAAAAGCCCTGGAGCCCAACGTCCAAGATTGCGAGTCCTACATAAAAGCGTCGCCCCGAAATCCTGCACGACAGCACCACAAGCGAAGACAACAGACGAAGCCTTACCAGTAAGGCCCCAACCCTAAACCCTAATCCTCGCCTGGCTCCCTTAAACGAGCCCCCTTAAACCCTAAACCCCTATAAACCCTAAACCCTATATAAACCCTCTAAGCCCTGAGTACTACCGACCCGAGGTTTGGTCCATGGTTCTCCTCGGAATCTTCATCCTCATGGCCGGGCTGGTGGTTGGCACTTTACTCCAGGACTCGGGGGCTTAGGCGGTATAATGTTGGGGCCTTCTAACAATTACCTATACTAGTTTTGGGTGGCTCTGTATTTTAATTGTAGTATAATGGGCCCTAAAACCCTATTCTAATTATTAAGGCCCCCATATTATATTGTTTAAAGACTGACCCATAATGTAGGAGTGTAGCAATCACGCACAAGCGGTCACAATAGCAGCTGTCGATACTAGCAATACTTAACGCCGACAAGAGCGATGACAATTGTAGCCGAACACAGTCCCCCCTGCTATGGGTAATGTCGCACTGGGCTTACTTAAGTGGCCGTCTCTACTGCGCTTTGCAGTTCCCTTCTTGTTGTTTTTCTCCACTAGTTGGACGAATATGTGTTTCTTGGCACGGCGGTGGTCTTTTGGTTTCCTCTGTACTTCCTGCTGATGGCCAATCTCTCTTGAGTAGAGGATCAGGAGAAGAAGAAGCCTGAGGCGTGAATTTCCGTGGCGCCTCCGCAATCCCCACCCTCCAATCCTGGACGCCCAAGGCCAACCTCAATGACTCAAACTCCTGTAAGTAGCCTTCTGCATAGTGGTACATAAAGGACGCGAGAAGATAGCTTAACTAGAAGGGCTTAGGAGGATCTGATGGTTGTCGAACGGGGGGCTCGTGTTCCATTGCGTCTTAGTGGGCTAAACTAGTAGCAGCAAAAATAGAGGTAGCGGCAGTAGCAAGACAGAGGTTGTGATGCTTCCAGACGTCTTGCCTTTGCAATATTACCACTGATTCCCTTCAGGTTCTCCGGATCTTGGCTGCTCTCGTAACACATAGTAAGACTCGTACAGGGAGATGGCACGCAATCGCAACGCTGCAGGACTACATCCTGGACGAGTCTCAAGACTATGACGACCGCGCCTTGAACACGTCTCGTGATTATTCAACTGTTGCAGCTGTCTTTGTAGAATGATTTGTGCGGTCAGAATCATGTTTTTGAATGACTTAAACAGCTCTCGCACTGCCACCGTCCTGCAGGCTCAGCACACGGACCAAGTCAGGGGCTTGAATACACCCTGCTGGCACTGTTCAACTGTTCTGGTGAACCACGGACCACGACAAACTCCACGAGCACATGTGGGTGGTTGTCAAAATTATGGTCCCTTTTTGGGTCCTTATTATAATACGGCACCTATTATTTAGGGTAGCCGGGTAGCCCAAATGGGACCATAATTTTGACAACTACCCATGTGTTCTTGCTAGACGTGCTCATGCTCTCCAAAGGCTGAGCGGGTTTTGATGTTGAGCGAGTGCTGCTGTGGAAAAATGCTTTGAGAGCAGACCACCTCTAAACAAAAACAAGTTGCCAGCAAAAACAAGTGGGCAGAGAACGTGTCCGGGACATGCTGGGCTTTGTGTTCCAACGCGAAGCAGTGTTTGCAGCGCGAACAAGCAGTTGATGAAGGCCACGTGGAACTACGTGTAGCCTGCGCATCGTCATGCCTCGTTCCCGGTGTGTGTGATGCAAGCTGGTGCATGATCCCAGCCCTCATCTGAGGTCGTAAGTCCATGCAGAGTGCAGAGTGGCATAATTGTAGTCCAGAAACCTCACAAGCCGTTTTCGCCACAGCTGTAGCTCAGGGTACCACAATTGGCAGTTGGCTTGCAGTGTCCTGCGGTTTTCCTGGTATGGTCATTCTAAACTCTCAGGCAAAACATCCTAACCCGCCAATCCTCTGCCAAAAGCCACCTGAGCAAAACCATCATGCAGCTTTGTGAAACCCCAGTAGCCGAGCCACTGCATGAAGAGTTATTTCTTTGGCTACTATGATCGTATCAGGATTACAACCTATAGGCCCAAAGTAAGAAGCCCTTTGAGAAACCTCCTGGCTGGAAGGAATGTGGGTCTGGGCACACTACGGCACAGCCCTGCGAGCTGTCTACACCATGACCCTTTCTCTTGGTTTCAGCAGTCTTTTTAGTAGCCTAAGTATTTTGTACTACCCGAAAGCCTAGACCCCTAATTAGGATTAATTAGGTGATCTGTGCCCATCGTTTAGTGAGCTTTTGTTTTTTTCGCGCCTGGAAATATTAATCGTTTCAGCCGAAAAAACTTGAACGGGACTGTGTGTGCGGAAGCACGCGGAAGCTCTGCGGAAGCAATCGCTCCGCGGAAGGTCGCGAAGAAGCTCCATCTTAAGATATCGTCATGCCGCAAATATCCTTCGGCCTTGAATGTACACAATATTGGCCCGCGGAAGGATACATGATGATGCAAACCGTAACAAGGACCTCAACAAACTCTAAACCCCAAACCCAAAGTCACTTCAAAGGCCTAGATCCACAAGCCCCGAAGCCGAAGTCCCCAGACCGCCAGCAAGAAGTTGTGTATGACCATAGTCCTGCATCTTAATGGCTGTATCTGTGCTTTTCGATGCATCATGGGCAAAGGTTTTGCCTTCTATTCTGGCAGATGCCAGCAAGATTCAGAGCCACCCATCCTTGTCAGAAGCATGCTTCGTATCAACATCACCACCATGCAGGCTTCTTGTTATCAGGTTCTTGCCGTTTACATTTATGTGTTCACCAGTAAAGTCACGTGGTTAACAGGAATAGCACTTTAGCGTTATCATGATCATGATCATCACCGGCTCAAATTCAGGATGATAGGGGACGTGCGCGGAAGCTCCGCGGAACGTGGACCCCTGGAAATTGATCCCATGCCCAGTCATACTCAAGTTGCAGTCATCGTGATGGTTTCGCTCCAGCGACAGCGGCATTTCTGCAAGCCCAAAGCCAGAAACATTGAAGTCCGGGCTTGCTATTGGACTTGGAAGTTGGATTGGAAGCCGAAGCCCAAAGCCACCTACAAGCCGCTTTCAGGTGTGCTTGTGTCCTCGCGCGCTTTATGTATGTAAGTGTGCATCAACATTTTCAATTGTTTCTCCTCTGTTACAGTTTGAAGCTATGCACCTGGTTTGCCCCAGCATAAAGCCTCCTCAAGACTCGAGCCCGCACTTGCGGAAGCAAGCCCCACAAACTCAGCGAAACAACCGCTGCAGAAGGGATCCGCGGAAGCGATATGAAAGTGGACGCCCGCGGAAGCGAAACCCTCGCGCACGGAAACAAGCGGAAGGGTCCTGCGGAAGCGTTTCCTTATTTCCATCCACACAAACACGAATAACAAACACAGCTCGAGTGGCCCTTCGCTCGGCTTTAATGCTCCGAGTACGAAACTTACAATAGGGTTTAGGGTTTAATTAGGGTTTCGAGTCCGAAAGCTACAAAAGAAGATACTCCTTTTATGTCCACAGTCGAGAACAAATCCTTGCAGAACATGTGCTGTCAACGCAGATAAGTCTGTTTCTTTTTGCAGCAGCGTAACTGGATTTTTGCAGTCGTATGCTGTTGTCTCGTATGCATGGCCGAGTCATGCCAACTGGCACTGAGTCTCCTTGTTATTCGGCCCCGCCGCAGTGTAACAGGGCGCCGACTTGATACTACTGAGTGCAGCCTCTACAAGTTCCGCGTTCGGCACCACCGCTGTGTAACGGAGCGCCGACAACTTTCCCCCTGAGGTATGAAATCACGTTCTCTGGCTCCTGGCCGATCTACGCACGTCCTGTGCACTTTGTCTGCAAGCTTGCATGGGCCATGGAGTCATGCCTGGTGGGGTTTAAGCAAAATGACGCGCAGCAGGAGCTTCGAGCAGAGTCGCAGCTCATCATGAAGAGGGTGAGGGTGCATGTGGGTGGCAGTACTTATCGTCGCCATTTAGCTCCTTTTTGGGGTTACCTTAGAGGACCTTGCTACAAACTTTTTAAACCAAGGAAAGGAACTACCAGGGAGACTATAGGCCACGAGCACTCATTCACACACGATTACATACACCTCGAGTTTACGCTTTGAACTTTCGACGAACTCTTTTCGATGTTGCAATTGTTTATCGGCCCAGCGTGAAGTGGCATGGCCAACAATGGGACTTTCCGAAAATTTGGGATACCTTATTTTGGGGTCCTTATAATAAGGATCCTATTATATTAGGGTACTATATTAGGGTCCCCTATTTTCGGAAACCCCCTAATGTTGTGGCCTGGAAAAGTTTTGCAAACACTGATGCAGCCAGATGTAGCAGGTACGCCAAGCTGGGGCATGCATTTACCATCTTTTTCGTTCTCTACGTGACCATCATTGTGTTCGCGCAGCCTGGACGGAACGAGCGGGTTTGTGGTCAGTTATGATCCGTGTGA